GTAATGCTAGATTGTTCTTAATCTAATGCCTAAGCTATGCCGAAGTCGATTTACGGATAAAGGACACTACAACTACACTAAAACACATATAAAGAACAAGGTATGATAAAGTCTACTAGGGGAAAAGATCCACTTAGAACAATTAATAAGCTAATGAGAATCCATTTGATAATCAATCATGCAAAGAAAGAATTATAATGAGAATTAACTACACTCAAAAGTAATCTCTCAAATTCCTAGCCTAGATCCCTCATTGACTAGGTGCATAGAAGAAAATTACCCAAAATGCAATCAAATATATCAATTCTAATTCACAATCCCTTGTCAAATTAAAACCAATATGCAATTAAGTGTGCTATCATGGGAGATCAATCCAATCTAAAACAAACAACATGCCAACATCAATTCAATCAATTTAATCACACAATTATCATCAAATTTATCTCAAATAACTCAAATAATCATTACAAAGCCTCACTCAACACCTAGTAGAAGGGAAACTACTCAAGCATAATGAAAGCAACTAAATAAAGCAATAAGAGAAGAGAAAGTAAGAAATGCTCATTGATATAAGATCGAGATCTTCAAATTCCTCATTTGATTATCCAAAATCCATGAAAACCATTGTGCTCCTCACTTTCTCTCTCTAAAATTTTGAGAGTTTCTCTCTCTAAAACCTAAAACTAACCTAAAATCTATTCTAAACTGAAAAAATCTTTTTCTTTAATGAGCAAAAAAAACTATTTATACCCCTTACAAAATTGCTTAGGAAGCTCCGCAAAAAGTCAGCTGAAACGGGAAAAGGTCCGACCGAACTCTGGGTAGGTTCGGTCGGACTCAGGGTAGGTTCGGCCGAACTCAGGGTAGGTTCGGTCGAACCTCCCTGATCCTTGTTTGGTCGAACTTTCCTGGTTCGACCCCTCCTGTAAACATGCTGAAAACTTGGTTGAAACTGCCTTGGAGGTTCGGTCGAACTTTTCAAAAGTTTGACCACACCTTGGTTCGACCGAACCTCTTAGAGGTTCGGCCACACCTCCTCTTGAACTTCCTCTTCTTGCTTCCTCTCCTTCCCTTTTGCTCCTCTTGTCTTTGTCCATGCCTCCATACTTGGCCAAGGGGCCTCCTACCGTGCTTAGGACCGTCATGGAACCTGCAAAAGATAGCAAAGATCACGAGAGCATGGGGATGATAAAATTATGCATAAAGATTATCAAAACAAGCGCAAATAAGCATACTTTTCATCCATAAAAAAAAAGGAAGCCATAAGAGGAGAAAAGAGGTAGAAAAACCTAAGAAAAACAGGAGAAAAGAGACCAATACACTACCCCTAAGGGTAACATAAATGTCACTCATCAAATATCAACAAGGTGAGCAGTTGTATCCCTTACCCTTTGCCTAGCTATGTTGTACTCTTCATTCCCATTGTGATATCGCAGCTCCTCATTCAAAATCTCTTCAGTCTCCTTCTCAAGCTCTTCCTTTACCTCCTCTAAGCCATAAGCCTCATCATCTGAATCAGCACCACCATCCAACTCTGCATCTAACACATCCTCCTCTTCACTATCATCTGTATAAACAGCTCCAAAGAAAGGCTTACTACTCACTCCTTTGCCTTTGTCAACTAGTGGGTTGTAACTAAGGTCTTCATTGTCACTTGTCATTGCTGTAATCTGGTATCAAGTCATTAATGGGGATAGGGCTCTCAAGCCTTGAATCTTCCCACTCATAGGTGTTAATAGGGTCTGTGTTTGTGTTTGAGGAAGAGAGAGTGGGCTGCCCTATTTCAGATGTGATGCTAGGGTTTAGAACATATTTTACTTTATATGTACTTTGGTTGGATAAGGAAATGGTTGGTGGAGTGGGAATAACTTCAGTGGGAGCATCTTTTTTTTGCTTTAGTGAGTTGTCAGGGGCTTTTAGGGAAGGTTTAACAATAGTCAATGTCTGACTTTTCTTTCTTGGACTAGATCTAACTGGTGGTCCCCTCTTTACTTGAAGTTTTTTGGGTCTCACAGTTTTGGATCTCACGGTTTTGGGTTGGTTCTTTTGAGGAAGCAGGGTGTAATTATGAGGGAAAGGGTACTCTGCCACCTGTATCATTTCCTTCATACTATCATCTGTCACTCTCTTCAAACCATCCACCATACTCACTCCAGGAACTAAGTATAAAAATCCCCGGATTCGACCATCATATCTAGCACACTTCATAACCAACTCCACAAGATAAAAGGAGCACAATTCATCAGGGTCCACATTAAAAGTTTTACCTTGCCCATTCATATAACACAAGGCACCATTGTCAAGGTTCCTAAACACCCCTCCATGTCACATTTTCAAGCTTATTTTACTATCACTCATACCTAATTTAACAGGAACTATAGCACAGTCAACAATTTACAAAACCAAACAAAAACAACACAACAAAACCTAGCATTTAGGGTTCGAACTCAATTCACATAAACCAACATGAAAATCGCAACATAATGCAAACAAACTACAATTCGCACTCATAAGTAACATACTAATTGAAATCCAACACGCAAAATCAACAATTTCGAGTTTAATTGTTTAGGGTTCGAGATTAACTTGCAAAATTTTCAAAATTTCAGGCGGCATTTAGGGTTCGAATACTTACCTAAATTGGAGTTCTTTGCAGTCCAAATGTCACCAAAAATGGAAGCTTTAGACTTTAGGGCACCATACACAAGTGGTTGAACCTTCAATTATGGCTGACAAAATTTGTTTAAATGCTACAGCGAAAGATCAGTTGCAGTGGGTTATGAGGGAGGAGTTCTTTCAGACATTAAAGATGGTGGTTGGGAGGGAGAGATAAGCTGACATCTTTTAGGAGGGAAATGAGAGTACCCAAGTCCACATAAGAATAGTTCACCTTGTTAGCCGGTTTCAAGTAAAATGGGACCGTTAAAAAAGATCGGGGGGTAAAGGTGGGATTATTAAAAAGAATCCCAAAGGTAGGATTATTAATCGCGGACGCTCAAAAGGTGGGATTATTCACATCAATTTTTCGTTTTCCTTTTTAAAAAGTTGCATAATAATTGCACCATTTCTATTTTGGGGTATGCTTTTATACACTTTTTTGTTTGTGTTGATACACCAAATACCCAAGCTTACCCTGACTCACGTTTAATATTTACCGTTTTTACTAGGGGTCTCTATTCGGTTTTCGGTTTGGATTTTGGCTAAATCCAATCCGATCACATTCGAAATAAAATTCGGTTTTTAATTTTCAAATCCAATCCGATCCGAATTTTTCATCAATCCAATCCGATTTATAATTCGGTTATTTGGATCCGATCCGAAAATCCGAATTAAAATACATTGCAAATTTTTAGGGCCTAAAGTAATTATAAAAATAAAAATGCAATTATTAAAATTTTAGTTTTGAAAACATAGTTGTACATGATTAATACAAGTATTGATAATATAGTTTTACATAATTTATATTAATGTATTATAAACGTAATTTTTCATGATTAATATTAACAATCATTATTTGTAAAAGCAAGTTTCATATTTCGGTTAATTCGGTTTTTTGGATCCAAACAAGGTCGATCCGATCCGATCCGAAAATCCAAATTTTCAAAAAATTTCAATCCGATCCGATTCGAATTATAGTTTGGATCTAATACGAATTTATAATTCGGTTTGGATTGTGGATTTCGGTTTTTATCCGAATAATGGACACCCCTACTTTTTACCTCACTTTTACTTTCTTTCCATGTGCATTTTTGTTATTTAATTCCTTTCTTAATCTTTGTGCCCTACCCAAATGGTGTAATTAAAAAAAACAGAGGAAGTATGTCAAAAAGGAGACCGTGTAGCTAATATTTGAGACTATGAACTATGTATTGTAAGTTATGCCTCATTATATGTCAATGTTAGTGGAATAGGTTTTGCTCAGTGAACCGAGTGGTAGGCCAATGCTGCACACAGTGTGTCAATGTTAGGTCATAATTCATTTGTGTGCAAGAAGGTTTTTTTTTTTAGTTGACATGAGATGTGGGAAGACAAAAAGGTATTTGGTCTTCTTGTAAGATGTATTTTTGGGAAGGATGTAAGGAGAGTCTTGATGAGGGTATAAATAAGCAAGTGCTGAAGGGAGCAAAAAGGGGTAAGAAAAAGCTGTTCAACTCTTGATTCGGTGGCCTGATTTTAAGTTATGTCATGTATACATTCTATGTGGAAGGTGTAAGGGGCATAAGGCTCAGTGCTAGGCTGGTTTTGTTCTATTTTGTGGGTGCTTTGGTTTAATACCAAAAGAATGACTTTTTTACGGTCAACCTATTTTATTGGGTTACACTTATTTGGTCGCCCTGTCGTGTCCCATTTTCCGTTTTGGTTTATTGTGAGGTTGGAGGTTGGAGTTTAAATTTTTTCCTTAATATTGGTGGGACTTAAGGCCCCCCTTAGTGTAATTCTTCAGCTTTTCAATGGTGCTTAATTTTTTAGTAAAAAAAAAAATGGTATGTACTCAATCAAGATGCTAACTTATCATTCACTAGGCCTCATAAAACTGACTAGTACTCATCTACCCAATCAAAATCCAAAGAACTCGAAATTAGATAACATAATTCAGTAATCCTGAATTAAAACTGAAATTTAATTTAGCTGAACCTAACCATAATAAATGACTATTAATTAATAATGATTGAATGTATGTAAAAAGAAAATTTTCATAAGCCAATCTTATTCTTGACCACCATTGGCACAACTTCGAAGAACTTTTATTTTAATTTTTATTGCTTACCACTATAGATTTTGTTGAACACATATTTTGTTAATATTTAGAGTAGATCCAGATGATTAATAGAAGAAATTTCAAACATGTCCAAAACTTATTTCGAATTAAATTCGAACCAGAATCAATTGTCTCATCACCTGAAAGAACTTGGACCAAATCAACCCAAACTGAAAGACCTATTTCCTGCCTCCACTATTGACACCGTATTAACTATTAATTATGTTAATTTATTATGCAGGGGCTAGCATTTGCTTGCATATTGCTGAAGTAGGAGAAAATTGGGATACTGGTTACTTGGTTAGAAGTATCTGATCAGCTTGATGGTTGAAGGGTTGCAGTGGTTAATACAGCGAGCCACCTAGACTACAATTAAGTGAAGCACTCTGATATCGCGATGCCTACTCTACCAACTTGCAAGTGAATCGGAGCAGGGAGTATAGCTTCTAAGGTTTCGTCTGGATATTGGCCCTCATCTACAACAAATCTGATCACCCTGTAACATATTGCAGAGAACACTCGATAAAAATGCTAATACTCCTTGGGGTATCACCGTATCATAATGTGCACCCCTCTGTTTATATTGTCTGCAGAACCCACAGCAAAATTCCTGTAAGTAACTGTATTCTATGCTGCTATTATGTTTTTCTAACGAGGAACAACTTTAGTAAGGCATAACTAAAAAATTTTTCTCTGCATTTTGTTCATATTATTCTATTATGCAACCCACTCCATCTGTGTTCTCTTTCCATTTTTGCACACCTATATGTACAATAATAGTTGCAAAATTGGAGCTGCCATGTTGAATACCTCACCTATCAGACCTATGGACTATGGTCGAGACCATCTAGATGGAAATTAAAAATGTAAATAGATAAGTTAGGATTAGAAATCTAAAAGATCATTTTGTTGATCGTGAAGGTGAAAGCTTTCTTGTAAATGTGCATTGGTTTCCTCTGTACAGACTTAGGAAGACGGTTTGGGAAATGATTCTAGTCAAGCAGAGGTGGATACACTAGAGGATTGAGATAGATATGAGAAGGTGTTGTGAGTCAAGAGTAAACATGTATAGAATTGTTTTCTAATTGTGTTTTAAAATCTTTACTGAATTTGATGATTTAGGCAACCAACAAAATGGATTGAGAACATGATTGCTCTTCAATACGAAGCTCTATTGTCAAATTTATCCAGAGAAGACTTTTGATAGAATGTGAAAGTGGCTCTCATTCAAAAAATGGTGTTTGAGGATCATCTAAAGATTCTGGTTTTTGGAATGAGTTGAACATTGGATAATGAAGAGGAGCTATTTTGCCTACTATATCCATTTTTAAGTACTTGCAACATTTTACATTCATCTAATTTTGGCGAGCTTGGGGAGTCGGAGTTCAAATATCTGTACAAGATTGGTTTGTGTAGGAGATTATTGTGTTTGTGAACAATTCTTTTATTATTGAGTTGAGTTCATCACCGAGATTTATAAACGAGTTTTGCACTTGTAATTTTAAAAATTAAGAATAATAATTAATCATATTTAAAAATTTGTTTGATTAGTTTGTTCATGAAATATTAAATGATAAATAACTTAATAAGCTTGTTCATGAACATGAATAAATAGGTTCATGAACTTAAATAAATGAGTTATCCATGAACTTATACGAAGGAGTATATATTGTTTTATGTTCATGCTCATTTGTTAAACGAGTTTTGAAAATTACTCAAACTCAGCTCATTTATTAAATCATAAAGAGCTTTACCCAAGCTAAATGCTATAATGAGAGTTGCGTCATTTGTCACACCAATAAGGAGCGTTGAATAGGTCATTGGGCAAGAAGGCAACATCATGGCCTAGGGGTTTCAATTCCCATGGGTAGTTGGCAGTCCTTTTCCCTTAAAGAGCTTCTACTTTGCATTTGTGTATCTCTAGCGACCTACATTTGACAGTTTCATAATGATGGGTCATTTGGAGAATCAAATGGGGGTCCTGAAATACAAGTTTGTGTACAACTTGGAGGATAGTGCTCTCGAAAGGTTCTAGAATACTATGGATGGCATTGCAAGGCTCTTAGCTTGTAGCCTTGTGGGATATGTGCAAGCATAAAGATGTCTAGAATACTCTTGTATATACTAGACATAGAAGATTTGTATGTAATAGAAGTATGTAGAAACCTCCATGTATGTATGTTTCTTTAGATGTGGGAACATACTATAAGGTTGTAACTAGAAGTCTAGAACATATAGAAAGGTTTTAGATTTAGGGACAAGCTAGAATGGATGCCTATAAATCTTCCAAGAACGTATTCTGATCATAGTTCACCTTTAATTTCGTTGTTTAATATTTGTAAAAATGGTCTTTTTTCTTTTCGATGTTAGGCTGCATGGCCGGAGCATCCTGATTTCAAAAGGTTTTTTTTGTCAATAATTGGGATCTTCATAGTTTTGATTTTGTAAAGGGTGGACATGAATTTTTAAATAACATTTAATATTGATATCACGATGTGTTTGATACTCCGTTTGTCTTTAAATAAATTAAACGTTTTCTTTGTGTAAGTGTGTCAATACAACACTTTGACTAATAGTAGCTTTAGTTATCAATAAATAAAATTATAACACTAGAATATTAATAAACTATTTATTGATACGATTCCAACAAGTATTCACAAGACTATATTTATTCTTATGTATAAATTACAAACATTAGTTAAAGTGAATAAGATGAGTAGTGCAAAAAGTTAAAACGTTTTATTTATTTAAACACGGAGGAAGTAATATCACTAATAGAAAAAACATTTTGCTAGAATTGATGGTATTCAACTTTCTCTTTCTAAAAAATTTTGACTGTATAAAATTGATAGAATAATTTGGCTCCAAAGTTGGGTGCAGATTGGCGATAAAATGCAGGTTGTAATACTAAATATTTTCACTTAAAACATTAAAATAAATATTTTCACTTAAAACATTAAAATAAAGTAAAGGTATAATTTTATCCTTGAAAGACAGTGACGGGTCCATGGTGAGTTCAAGTGGGTTCATTGAAATCCTGCCCAAAAATATGAATGTTTAAAAGAAAATGAAAACATGTTTAAAAGAAGTGATGATGGTGGCGTGGCTGTTGTGATGTGGTCGGCGGAGTGTTCGGCGGAGAGATGGTGGTTTTGGTGGTGAAGAAGTGAGGTCGGGGTGTAGCGCCATGATTGAGGACTTGAGGTAGAAGAGGAGTGAGAAAGTTGAATGGTAGTATAGAAAAGACAATAGTACCCTTTGAGTAACATATTTTGTTACTCATATTGAGTAACTTGGATTTCCTCTTCTTCTATTACTACTTTTTTTTTTTAATTTTTTTTTTATACTGGTATATACATAGGTGACTTTTTTTTTTTTTTTTTCTAAAGGAGCTCTGCCTTCTTCCATCAATGATTTTTACATTTCTTTAACAATCCTTCCTTGATGAAAGATTTTTGAGGTTTGTGCAATTCAATTCATAAAATTATCACTAAATGTATTTCTAATAGGGTTAAACTAAACTAATTATTAATGACCTATTAGTCCTTTTCAATTTAGTTTTATCCCTAATAGATCCATTGAAGAGAATATTATTATCATTAAAGAAGTTGCTCACCATTTTAACAAAGCCTCTAAAAAAGCTAACTTAATGGCTTTAAAAATTGACCTCTCTAAAGCTTTTCACAGTTTAGAATCCAGTTTTATTAAAGACACACTCCTTAGCATTAACCTTCCTTCTAATATTGTAGAGCTTATTCTTAGTTGTATTTGCACTCCTTCCATTTCTCTTCTTTGGAATGGGGAAATCACTAAGCCTTTTACCCCTTTTGGAGGTATTTGGCGAGGCGTCTCTTCTCTCCTTACATTTTTGTTCTTTGTCTGATCTTGATCGTTTATCTTGTATGATCCAAGATAAAGTTAATTAATAAATCCTAGAAACCTTTGAAAATTGCAAAGGACATTTGCATTTCGCATCTTTTCTACGCTGATGACGACTATTTTTTTTTTTTTTTTTGGAAAGGCTTCCCTTAGGAACATTCATGTCATGATGGATGTTCTAAACAATTTCAAATCTATTTCAGGTATTTCAATTAACATCATAAAGTCTTCTGCTATTTTTCCTAGAAAAATGAATTTCAATGTTTGAAAATCTAATTGTAACATATGTAATGTTACCAATACTACTAAAGTATCTTGGTATCATTATTAGTCACAAACGTTTAAGTTTATTAGATTATTTTCATTTGCTTGATAAAACTTGTTCTAAAGTTAAAGCTTGGCAAGCTATCCTTTTAAATATGGCCGGTAGATGTACCCTTGTCAAGTCCGTTTAAAATTCTTATCCGGTTTATGCTATACAGACTAACATCTTCCCTCGTAATGTTATTCATGATCTGGAGAGAAAAGTTGCAAACAGTTTCTTTGGAATCGAGTTAATCATTCTAAATACATTCCAAGAACTAATTGGAAGGTTACGTTGTTTGTGATCCTATAGCTAAAGGGGGTCTAGGCATTCGAGATTTAAAAACAAGGAATCTTTCTTGTATGGCCAAATTTGGGTGGAAAATGCCAACTCGACATTCTAAGCTTTGGGTCCAGATTCTTACCAAAAAATATCTCAAATATTCGAATTTTATGGATTATAGCAAAAAAAAATTCAGATTCCATTATTATTTGGAATGACATTCTTGTTGGGAGACCATCCTCAAGAAAGGTCTTATTATTAACATTGGGGATGGCAAGGATACTTCTCTATGGTTTCACCATTGGATTGATGATTGTCCTATTTACCTTATTACTGGTGTTAATATTTCTGATTCTAAAGGTCATTGACTGTTAATGAATGGTACACTTAGATGATGTACTGTTACTCATATTATTCTTCCTAATATATGTCTCTTAATTAAATCTTTCCCTCTCCCCAAGCTGGTTTCTGTCTCTAATAGGCTTAGATGGTCTCTTGATAAAAATGGTCTTTCTTACTATAAAATCGACTTATAATTCCATCTTACCCTTTTATAATCTTAATATCTCTTTTCTATCTTATTTTGCTTGGAAAAACATGTGGAAAATCAAGGCTCACTAGTGATCGGGGCACTAGTTAGAGACAGGCTTTTATAACTAGTTAGAGATAGGCTTTTAGAGCTAGTCACATAAGCATTTTATACATGTTTTTCTAAGGATTTGGGCTGTTGTAATCTTAATATCTCTAACTAGTGCCCGATCACTAGGATTTGGGCTCCCCCTCAAAAAGGATACTACGCCCTCCTTCCCTTTTTATAGTTCTCATTTGGACTGTGCACATTAGCCAATGCAACACTTTGACCATAAATATCGTTAGTTGCTTATTTGTAAAAAATAACAATTGAATATTAATAATCTATTCATCGAGACAAATCAAATAAGACCCAACATGACTATGTTATGTCTTATATATTAATAGTAATTTAGAAGATTATCTCATATTATGAATAGGTTCAAAATTATAAATAGTAACTATAAAAAGGGATGGAGGGAGTACAAGGCTACAAGCACAATACAGATGGTTCCTGGATGGATCTTGTTAATGCAAGAGGTGGAGGTATAATCAGATGTTACAAAGGCCTATGGCAGATTGGATATGCCATGAACTTCAATGTTATGAGTGCTGGAAAGATGCTTAATAATCCAAACTCTTTCAGGAATCATGATCTGGGTAACATCATTAGAGATGTTGCTAAACTTCTCCAAAGAAACTAATCTGTTACTATTCTGCATGCCAAGAGAACTGTAAACTATATGGCACATCAGCTTGTTGCGATTGGAAGTACTCAAGTAAAGAACTAGAAATACAGTTTTGTATCATAATTCCCCTGCTGACCTATTTGAAACTTATGCTGCTGAAATTCCAGATCCCATTGCTACTTAGTTCTCTCTACTTTGTTGTTGTTGCTTGCTTCTCCCATTTTGCGCACCAGGTGTTTCCTTTGTGGACTTTTGACAGCAGCTTGAAGATCTTTTTAATTATGCTTTTTACGTACTTTTCAGTTTATGTTGGTGGCAGTATATTTCTACTTTTGAACTCTCCGAACCATCTTTTGTACAAGGAAGCTGTTGCTTTCTTGATACTCCGTATAATCTAGTTCCTTTTTGTGTTTAAAAAAAAAAAAAAACACAATCAAACTCTTTAATTTGTACACTCTTTCAAAACAATCTAACAAATCTTTGAAAACCTTCGTTGCATGCTTGCTTTCTTACTTAGCCTTTTTGTAGCACAACACTTAGTCTTGCAATGTACTTGGGAGCCTTAACTATATGTCTAACAGATTAGTAAGCAACGTGCAAACTGCAAAGGGCTAACATCCATCATGCGACTCATCTTTTCTTACAAATTTGTGTTGAAACCTAAGGCGCCTGCCAAAGCAAGCAATGGAGCTTTGGTTAGGTCGTGGTAGTAAAATCACCCTTTTCATTTTGATAGGAGCCAAGCGTTCTCCCTTTCTTGAGTTTCGACATGCTAAGCTGGATTGAGTTGGAAATAACTTGTGAGAGGTTATTGTAGTGTACTGTCTGCTGCTCTGGTAGGTTTGCCATTAGTCTTATCACCGAATATTATTGTATTTACAGTTCATATGGCATGAACAATTTATCTATGTGAGTATATTATAACATAGAACTACAGAACACATAATTTCTGCTCTCACATTGCTTTAGTAAAAGTCCACTATCAATTGATCATTCAAGAAAGTTTTTATTTATTAAATGTGCAAAAATAATATATCCCTCATTTTTTAAACTGCAGCAATGTGCAGAGTTTTAGACATTTTATTTGAATTTAGTAAAATAATATGTTGTATGTAACTAGGATTTGTTGGATATTATATATTATAACAATGAATAAATCACAGACAAGTAAGACAACGAACCATTAAAATGATGATAACAGATCATTCATGAAAAAAAGAAGAGACTGAGTTTATGGCGGTAAATTTGATAGTGAACCCTAGTGTGTGGCGGAGCTAGAAATTTCAAAGCGGGGGGACAAATAGACATCACATAGTTTGACAAAAAAAAAAAAAAAAAAAAATTACTTGAACGCACATATAGTTAAAGTTTTATTACAACACAAAAATCCAAATTAAAATACGGAGTACTTAGCTTAGTCTTAATAATATCCAACATTAAAATACTGTAGCAAAGATCGAACTGCATGCATACAATTCCCTTGCATACTGGCTTACTCCACTCACCACTGCTCCACTCATCTTGTTTAATAAAATTTTGCATGCACAATTATGTATTTAGGGTGTGTTCTATTCACTTGATTTTTACTTATCTAACTTATTATATGAACTAGACTGAACTTATTTAAATTTAACTAAACTTAACTGAACTTATTGGAACTTATTAAAACTTATTTTAGTTGTAATTTGAACTTGGGTAACCCTTATTAGAACTTAATTTTGGGGAAATCTAAGTTACTCAACATGAGTAACAAAATATGTTACTCAAAGGGGTACTATTGTCTTTTCAATACTACCATTCAACTTTCTCTCTCCTCACTCCTCTTCTACCTCAAGTATTCAACCATGGCACTGCACGCCGACCACTTATTCACCACCACAACCACTATCTCTCCGGCCGAACACATCACCATAGCCTCCACCATCAACACTTCTTCGCCCATCTTCAAAAATTAAGCTCAATTGAGGGAGCTTCAATGGAGGACATGGTCACCCCTTCCCTTTGGGGTTGACCATGCCCTTAATTTCACCCTTCATTCCTAGGGTTTTCGTTTTCGGGGGAGGTGGGTGGAGATCGGGGAAGGTGGAGATGAGGAAGCTTGAGTTTTGTTTCGTCGCGGCGTTGTGGGCTTGAGAAAGGACGAAGAAGAGGTCGACGGGGGAAAGAAGATCGGAGGTCGATGGGGAAGAAGAAGATCGGCTTGAGAGATGGTGGTTGTGATGATGGTGGTGGCTGTAATGGCTGTGATGATGGTTGTGATGATGGTTGTGATGATGGTGGTGGCTGTGACGATGGGAAGGAAGAAGGAGGAAGAAGCAATTATTTACAATTGTGCTATTTGAGTAACATATGTTGTTACTCAAAATGAGTAACTGGGGCTAGCCCCTTATTTTTCCTGAACATAACTTATCTGAACTTATTTTTTCTAAATTGAATTTATCTTAACTTAACTGAACTTATTAGACCTGAAATAAGTGAAAATAAGGTGAACAAAACAGGCTCTTAATCTTTTTTTTTTTAAGAAAGTGGGGGGATAGATGTCCCTCCTTGTCCCATGCTGGCTCCGCCAGTGGTTAAGCCCGTCTTTGTAGAGGAAAGAGAGGGAAATTTAGTATTCAATTGTAGTGAAAATCTTTGGCGCTGAAATTTCATGAAAAAAAATATATACTTTAGCAAACCATTAATGAAAAATCTTAGAGAGGAGTCTAGTATTAAGAGATGGGTTGAAATAATATTTTGGAGAATATCTTGTGAAAATATATAATGTAATATATTTTATAAAGTTAAGATACTTAGGAATATTAGGGTTAGATATTCCTATTATCTATATATTGTTTTGTGGCCGAATATTGTAAATGAGAATATACAACAGAAAATGCATGAGAAATATAGAGAAATTTATTGAGACCTAAATTTAACACAAGTCGGGTCAATTTCGGCCAAGTTTACATAAGCTTCGAGTCAGAGTCCATTTCTCTTCTAGTTTCAAGTATGTTTTAATATAAAAAATTATATATTACAAACTTGAAGAATTGACATTGGATATAATAGATTTACCAAGAAAATAGAAGCTAATTTATGAATTTTGCAAAGTTCTAATTGTCAAGCATTGTTGGAACTATATCTCCATAATGCAAAAGCAAGCATCCTTATGGACCTTTTGTTATGCATGCAGCTAATTTTTTTTTTCTTTTTCTTTTAACATAACTAGATCTACATAAATCATAAAAGAAATTACAAAAGTTGTGAAAATTAAACATCTTGAGCTGATGAATAACCTCAATTAAAAACATTGAAACTCAAATCCTTGGTTAAGAAAAGCCCCACTTATCCACACTTTCATGTTAGGCAAGTTAAATTCCTCCCTACATTTTGCAACCTGTTCCAAACAAAGTTCATGAATTAGGTTGCTATAATTTCATTCAATCAAATTGTAAAATCGAAAAGTAAGATTATATGTATAATAAACCAAAGTTATTACATTTAGGGTAAATGTGAGTACGAATTGCTCATATAGAGTGCTTAAGCTTGAATTTCGGATTGTAAACGTAGTCAAAGAATCAAGCGCCTTGTAAAGGGACGCTGCTACACCTTGTCCTTTGTTACTCACCACCTTCACATAAAATTCTCTTTCTTCAATTTGAAGCACATCCATCTACGTTACATTCAATAGTACAATATGGTTAATAGTCAAATGAATAAAAAATCATACTAATGTCACTTGAATTTAGTTGTCATATTATGACGATTTCAACTTATACTATCAACATAACTATTAAGAGATAATATTTATAGATGGGTTGGGATATTATATCTTTAGAACGTACCTGCACAATCATCTTACAAACCGGAAGAAAGTTGTCAATAGAAGCATTTTTCTTAGGGGTATCGGCATAACCTTGGCTTCTCTCAGCAGCTTTCAAAGATGATTCAAGGCCTTCTATTTGAGATTTTAGCTTCTTTGATTGCATTTGCAAGTCTTGCACATACAACACGGCGTCGCCAACTATGGATGCCTTGTCCATCTAGAACAAATAATGATGGTTAATTTCCAATAAACATAAAATTGGCAAAAAAAAAAAAAAAAAAAAAAAAAAAAATGTAAGTTGACGATGTAAATAAAATTGAACTACAATAATAATTTAATCATTGTATCTTGATATAATACTTCATAATAAATAACAGTTTTTGATATTATACTCTATAATTGTGCTTTAAAAAATAGCTTAGCTTCTTATTATACGAATCAGATTTCAAAACCTTCAACTACAAAGAGTAACATAAATGAATGTACCCTTTCTTGGAACATGACGTAACATTTTATTATTATTTTGTTAAGATTAATTTAATTTAAGATCAAACATGCACCCCATAATTGGATTTAGATATAGTAGATGGTAGAAGATTCATGATTATAATTTTGAATGCCGCGTTGTTTGTCTAAATAATGTAATGCACTTTTATAGTAAGCTCATTTGTCTTGTTTAATACTCGTACAACAACTATGGTGTTTTGTCTCAAGATTCTGAATTATTGCATGTGAAACCTTATCAAACTCAAAATAGCAAATCTGCGTATCTCTTGGTCTGCTTTCAAAAATTCCATGAATCGAACCTAGTCTATTTTTATTTATTTATTTATTTATTGCAAATATTATTGAAAATCCTATAATTTAATGTTTTTTTTAAACATTAGAAAAGAAAAAAAAAAAAAAAAAAAGGGCATTAGAAAATAGAAAATTAAACCCTCCACCTGAGAGAAATGCTTGTGAATGTTATTGCTAAAGATGTCCTTTTTTTTTTTTTTTTTTGATAGGCAAAGATGTCTCAATAATGATACATGAATTTTGAACTATGTGCTCATCATATTATACACTTCGTATTAAATTATGAATGAAAATAGTCTAATTTTTATTTTCTTATTAAATTATGAATGAACTATGTGCTCAATTTTATATTCCTTTAATAGAAATAGTCTAATTTTTAAACAATTTTGGGTTTTTTTTTTTTTTAGTAGAGAATAAAATCGTAATATGCTCTCCTTTTTGTTTCCAGTCTTTTTGTTTCCAGTTTACATCACTATCCATACTCGTTGCACCCTCCTTGTCATTTTGTCATCTTTGTCTCCCTTTTTTCTTTCATAGGCATTTTTCAATTTCAAATCCCAATAAAAAAAAATTAAAAACATTGCTTTAGTGGTTAAGTTGACTATGTAATTATTGTCTAAATTTTAACTTCTATGTGTGTTACATTCCCTTTAAGTAGCTCCAAAATGTTTGCACGGTTCCCCTTTATAGTATTATCTAATTTTCTTTATAAATCACTTCACAAACTGATCTCAAATAAGTCAAATAACCATACATAGTATGTGTTAGGTAACTTGACATATATATATCATCAAATCATCACTTCACAAATAAATTAATACCCTGTAATTCGAACTTATGGGGAAAAAAAATTAATAATACTCAAAAGTATACATAGATCTTTTTATTATAAATTCTTCATTTTTAACTTGAATACTTTGCAAATTTAGAAATTATCTTTTTTCCTCATACTATCAGCCAAAACTTCTTTCAAAAAAATAAAAATAAATATATACTATCAACCATTACTTAAATTTGGGACGGAGATTTGGAAGCCTAATGTAGTAGTGTTACCTGTGTATGATTGTATGAAGAGATGTACTTCTAGAATTTGGCTAAGGTGTTTTTGTACACTTCATGATTAGTACGTTAAATTGAGCGTTTAATCAATGATTCTATTACTCCGCACAATGTTTTTAGAGAATAAAATAACATTATATTAATTTAACGGCCACAATCACCCAAAAATATATATTAATGGTGTAATTAAATTGCAATTCTCAAATAAGGGTGGCTTATTTTAGTTGCTTAGTTTGTTCTTGTTTTTTTCGAGCTTGTCCCTCTTATGCACCAAAAAAAATTGCAATTCTCAAATTATGAGAGTAATTTGCTCTCAAACATGCATGATAAGAAAATAAAAGGCAAGGACTACATATAAGGGATATTAGTATATTACAATTATACATTTTTACTAAAATCTCAAAGTTAATCTAACAATTACATGTGTCATACAATAAGTCATTAACTTGTGAGCCATCAAATAATATTTCTCCATAAAAAAAATTAGGTGAAAATTTTAAAGTTACCGTAACATCAAAACATCAAAAGAATACGTAATAAGTTTGATAGTCACGTTGGTAAATAGTCGTGAATTATTCCATAGTTAACACGAAAATTTACTAAAAAAAAATAATTAAACCACCTAATACGCATACCTTAGTGATGTTAGGAACCAAGGCACGAAGGGCATAGAGCTTCTCCTTCATCCTTCCTCTCCTCTTCCTCTCCGAAACCAACGTCCTCGATCGATCGAGCTTCCCCTTCTTCGAAGAACCCGACGTATTCTTCGTAGTAGCCGAAGAATGCTCTCCGGCCTCCAAGTTATCATCATCGTCGTCGTCATCCTCCTCCTCCTCTTCACCTCCTCTACCATCTTCGAACCCGGACAACGAATTAAGCATAGTATTGTTGGTACAAGACATAGTTGGTGAACTAAAAGTATTAAAAACATTGTTATCTTGGGAAAGTGGGTAGAAATTCATGCTATAATTATCAGAAACATCATTATTTCTAGTAAAAGAAAGAGGATCAAAGTTTTGATTAACACAAATACTAGAAGGATCAGAAGTTTCAGATCCTCTTAACATTTCAATAACATGATTAAAATTAATGTCATTTTCAACAAAATCAAGGCTAAAATCATGAATTAGTGGTAATGATGGGGTGGAGGAATTGGAATCATCCATGACTAGATCTTTTTTGTGGGAAAAAGTCAGAGAGAGAGAGAGAGAAGAGTGTGTTGACCTTTTTTATTTTGCAAGTTCATTTATGTGCTTATTTATACTTAGCGGATTAGAGGGTTAGTACTTAGTAGGGAAATGAAAACTAATTTATTCTTAAAAATTCGATTAAAGCTTCTTACTAATAGTTTTTTAAAATATTATTTTATAGTAAGCTTCTTACTAATTGTATCAAAGACCAATTGGTTGTTGGTGTAGTGGTGATTGGGGTTACACTTGGTAAGGAGGACCGAGTGTTTGATCCCCCGCAACCACAATTGGGAGGGAACTGGAACCTGAACTGGAACCTAACCACCTAAAACTGATCCTCAAATTCGGATTAGCCCAAAGGGTGAAGCGGGTAGAACACCAAAAAAACTAACAGCTTGTTTGGATAAAGTTAAGGGAAGGAAAAGAAGGGGAGGGAAGGGAAGGGGAAGGAAGAATGGAGAGTTTTTCTTCCAAATCTCTCCATTGTTACAGGGGTAATTTTCTTAGAATTTAATCCCTTCAATTCTTTTCATCCCTAATTTGCTATCCAAATGAAAGATACACCCTCCTCCATTGTCCTTCCCTTCTTTTTCCTCTATTTCCTTCAATCCCTGTATCGAAGGGTAAATGTTAAATTTTTTGGAGGGAATTTTATAAAAGGATTAAATAATACAAAATACTTTGTATATTGTTATACTATATTATTTTATGTACATTTTTACTGTTATAATAAAGTATTATATATGATAATGATCTAAGCTGTACATAGTCAGACGTAAAGGTCTAGCTGTTACTTTCTCAATAGAATAGAGGAAGTAATTCATAAAAATCGTTAGAATACCTAGAATCTATTGAGTGCCCCAATCCCCATGATGATGTTTATTTTGATTGGGCTACCGTTTTAAGTTGATGAAATGCCTGACTATATGTGCAACTAATGCAAAGTACTCCGTATGTATTTGGGTGTGTTATATAAAATTATAAACTCTTTTATTCTATATTACGAACCTTGTTCTCAAGTTCAATGAAATTTTCATCTACGTTGCTTGGTGGACTAGCTACCACTTTGTTAGTGAACCACATTAATTTTGTTGTATTGAGTTTGTTTATTTTTCCTGTGTTAGAAATATAAAACAATTCATTAGTATTTTTTAAATAATCAGTCGGTCATTAAATACAAAGTACATGTAATGTACACCCTATGTTCCTTTAAATTCTACCCTCTTTTTGTCTAAATTTGGTCTATAGAGTTCTTCGTCATAGAATTTTCTCGTATTTCATTTTTTTTGCATATTATGACAAAGATAAATATACCTTTTATCCTCCCATATACATATTAGTCTAAAATTTATTGGAACTACTTAGATTTACTTATCGAAATTTATTGAAATTTATTACATTTTCGTGCTTTGCACTTGTTTGAAATTATTGCATTTGAAACTTTTTCTTTTTTAGACGATGAGAATATATGCACTGTAAGTATAACTTGTCATTTAATTAAGGAAGAAGAGAGTAAAATATGTGACAAAATTTTCAATACGCCAAATTACTTATTCTCAAAACAAGTGCTTACCTATTACTAACCTAAAAGGGATGAATAAAAATATGCTTTCTTAGTGTGAATGGAACAAGAATAGTGGTATATAGGGAGGAACCAATCTCTACTCTCAACTCCATATGTTGACAAAATTGAATAATTACTTATTTACTTAATACGACAAATACAGTTTTTTTAATTAATATCATTAGTGCATATGATTTGCTTATTCACTAAATTTAAATTAAGATATGAAGTAATTAATTATAATTATGTGAAAAACGGTATGCGGGTCGATGTCTTGTGACCGTTAGTGTACGCTTCATCATCTTAAGAATCGATTCTTAGAGGATTAATTAGCTAAACTTTAATTTGATAAAGACATAAATATTAATGCAAATAGAACCTGCCTCAAATAAAATCCTGCAAATTTATATTTTATCTCATTTATCAATTATTTAACAACGTCAATTATTTTGTGTGATTACTGTTGTTTGTTTGTATAATACAAAACATTACTACAGATAGTCACTCAATATAGTGTTTTATAGTACTAAAATTATGTATGTAGGTCTTTTGCTCTTACAGATGCCAGTCTTTTTTCTGTTGATGCGAAATATGTGGTCCTAATTGCTAAAATATAGCTATAGGTCGAACTAGATAAAAAAAATTAATTGTCATATTATTATATTTCTACCTCTCATTATTATTCACTATGAATTCAATAAAATATTATTTTTCAGTATAGGTGTCCTCTTTCATCCCGTTTCTACCTTTTTAGATACTCTCGTAGTACATTTTTCGAAATAAAATCCTAGCTAATGTGACAATATATTCTGTTCCCCAAACAATTGTATTGTACTTTGTAATTGTCTTTTATAGTCTACGTGAGTAACAATTTTTGACAAAGGGAATTATCAACAAGAAAATTCAACAAAAATTGAATGGAGTTCAAGATTATTTTATATATTGTCAACTAAATTACCACGCAGTCATGCACGATCAGCTGTCTCCAATAATTAAGGACAGTGAAAAGGACAAGTACCATCACACCGCAATGTTGTGAACCGGCCAATCACTTTAATTTGTATCAGGTATAATGCCGTTACTTTGTAATTTTGAGTATGCTTTTGGCTCAAAGCATGTCTAAGAGCACAACCTAAATTCCACAATTTATTACTAGAAATTAAAGATGGCTCTGGATCGTGTCGGGTTGTGCCTCGTGTTGGATCCACGTGCTTTGAGTTTAGTTAGGCTCATCCCATGACTCAACCCACGAGTTTCGTGCCGTACCGGGCCAGACCGAAATTTTCAAAAGCTTGCCCCGTGCAACAGCCAGTCCCACGTGCCATCGTGCCAGGGTTCCGTGCCTAAGAAAAATTTCATTGATTTTAGCGTGTTTTGTAGTGTCAGGTCAAGTCATGTTGTGTCTTATCGCGCTTCTCCTAAATAAAGACGGCCCACGGCCCGGCACGCACAATAACGTCTCATGTCGTGCCTACACCGTGCTCGTGGCGTGCCGGGCTTTTTTCGTGCAGGCCGTGCCGGGCCTTGGGCCAGCCCGACCCAGTGCCATCTTTACTAGAAATACAATTTTTCTGCCTGAAATGTTAACAAATAGACTTAAATCCACGTTAATTAAAATAAAATTTTCTTATCAAGTCATGCCAAAGTCGCATACATGTCAAAGTCATCAATTATCAAAGAACAGAAAATGCATGACCTAATCGTGAAATAATTAAACGACCAGCATATTCCATCAGTTGCACGAATGAATTACGCACATAAATAGCATCTGTTTAGTTGGTCGCTAGATAATGACAATTTTTGGGACCACACCAAAAAATATTTCAACAAACGCTACAATTTATTACCAACATCACTTAAAGGTTGATTTTGCAACTACCATATCAATGTTTGGCATTTGACCACAACTGTTGGCACAATCATTTAGCGACCGAAGCTTCTTCGGCTCTAAACAACTACCAACCTACTCAGTTCAAGATCGAATCATTTCTTCTGACTCTTTTTCAAGTAGTTTTAGCTTCATTAAATATAATTCTAGTGAAACAACTTCTCGGTCGTAAAGAATGTGTTAGAGGACCAACTCAACCAAAAGTGTAAGTTGATGGTTGAAGCCCAAAAATCGGTTTAAATACTCTATCACGCCCCCTTACATGAGATTCCTTTGGCGTTGAAGTGTGGATGCGGCATAAGTCCCTTTATACCCAGCGACTAGCGCGAAATATATATTCCACTTGAAAGTGGGGGGTGGAGACCATGTAAGAGGATCAATTCAATCAATAAGTTAAGCTGATGGTTGAAGCCCAGAATCGGTTTATGAACTCTATTAGAATGAAATCAAGATAGTAATTGGTTTGCTTGAATTTCGATGATCTTGATCGATCTAATAATGCAACCATTATTATTAGAAAGTCTAGGTTGATTAAACTTTTGGTTATGTTAATATTCCTTTTGTATAGTTATCTTTTGGTATATATATCCGTTAAGTTATGGAGTTTAAGCAAGTTAAGGTTGACTATTGATTGTACTATATATACCGTTGTGAACATCAATAGAAGCTGAGCCGTTATCTCCAATTCTTCTCTAATTTAACAATTATAGTTTAGTCTCTTAAAGATTAACTATGGTAATGGTTTTATTCGTGGTACGAGTAATTAGTAATAATTTCTTTGCTACTTTTTAAAAATTATATTCTTATTTCAAAATTAACACGGTTTCTAGTACACGCATGCATCTAGTATATCATCAGAGCAATTTTAATGGTTGTAGCCAGTTTAGGGTCTTGCTTGCAATTTTTTGATGTCTATAACTATTAGTTTGACCATTGGACCTAAAAATTTGCTTGAAAAAATTCCAAAACCTGAGAGATGGATATATTAATAAATTAAAAATTTTAATTGAAAATCTAAATGAAAATTTGGGGATCACTTAAAAGTAGTTAACCATATTAGGACACAAATTAGCTACAAAGGGGTATAGCTTGAAATCATATGTGGCATTACAAGTTAATTTAGCAATGAGCTTACCATAAGAGGTACTCTTGATTTGATACCGTATATTTTAATAAGTATTATTAGTAATTTTAAAAATTGATATTTGCAAACTATACATATAACGAGACAAGTGAAACAAAATATTACTTGTTTATTTTTCTTTCTTATATAACCAATACATTTTGTATTACATTCCAATTAATTTGCATTAAAAGCTTTGAAATTTACAAATAAAATCTACAAAAAGAAAATAGATTAATAGCTTTGAATATGTATAACGCCCTATTAAAAAAAGGAAAAAATTGACCGCAATAGCACCAACTATGATAAAGGTGCGTGCAGCAGCACAATCTTTCGATGGTGCACTCCACATCACAAACTATGCACTTGGGTGCAAATAACAACATAAATGACACCAAGTAAACTAAGATTTCATCGAAAAGTAGAATTTTCATTCAATATTTTAATGCTTTTTATACATAATTTAATATATTTTTTATTTAATTCCATCCTACTTGATTTTCCTTCTCACTTGACTATGTAGTCTTCTCTTCCATCATTGATTGTTTTCCTTTAAACATCACTTTTCAACCTCCATCATTAAAGGGATT